ACTTTTTAAGACTAAAACAAAAGATGGATTCATTGTTATTCTTAATTAAAAAGCATAACAACAATAAAACAGTAAGATACAATGACAAACTAGCTTACAAAACGTTTAACAAAAACGAATAAGACGAGGCATGGCATACACCACATGCTGTATTATATATCGACTAATAAATAACAGAATGTTTAGCAAACACTGAGGAATCAAATAAATAAAAAAGAGAGCCTCCATAGCATAACGTGAGGTAAACCGCAAAGATAAGCTTTTCAAAATGAAAACAAAAAGAAAAGTAAAACTAAACTTGCTGTCGGTGACAGTGCTTGCATGTTTTTTCCCCCCACAAGAATACCAGCATGTTCACCTTTGGTTTAAGAAGCGGTCTTTTACTTTACTTCAGCATGAAAACCATCCATCGTTTCCTCAATATTCGCGTCATTTTTGCTTCGCGCTCCTGCTGACGCGGCGAGTATAAACCAGGCTCTACACTCTATAAGCGCTGCGCAGTTCAAACGAGTAGCGCGGTTTCGTTATGCTTTCGGCTTCGTTTGCCTTTTGATGTTTCTCATATGCAACAGAAATTCAGCGTTTATGAGTTAAACAATGCGGTGGTCGCGCCAGTGCGACCGCACACAAAATTTAGTCGCACGGGCAGAAAAAATTATCGCAAAATGCGCCCATTTGGTCGCACTCTGGAGCCCTGTGCAGTACAGTATTTATTTATCCTCAGTTGTTAAAATCGCGGTAATCGAATACGGTTATAGTGATAATTAAAATATGAAACGGTAATACTAACCGTGGGGTATTTTATCACGATTTATCGTCAAACCGGTAATCGTTACATTACTACTACTACTCTGAACTCAAACATTTCTATAAGACAAAAAAGTAATATTAATATTGCAGCCTGCACTGCAAACTGTGCTGAACATACTCGTCATCAAAGTCAGGCAACACAAATCTGTTTCATGATTTGAAACAATATCACTCATTAGAACATGGAAAAACTAAGACATTAATTTTTCTATTAAGATATTTATTTTGTTGAGGAAAAATTACTGGAAAAGAATTAAAAAAAGTGAAGTGTTTGACCATAAAGAGTAGTTTAAAACCACAGCTAACAGTGCTCTTTCTACAACTTTCACTTAGGAGCAAAAATCTGCCCTTAAACTTTTAAATAAATAAATAATACATTTAAAATGTATCATGATAATTATCAATATAGATTGATATGAAAAATGTTATCATGATAATTTTTTTTGGCCATATCGCCCAGCCCTATGTTAGTCATAATTTTCTTTTACATGACCATTGTCTAGGGCAGTGGTTCTCAACCTTTTTTTCCACCGGGCCGCACTATGCCCCTATGAATGGTTTTATTTTTACGATTTCGTTTTAATCCAAATGATGCGTGTGCTAAGTGAGTGAACATCAAAGATCACACAACAGAAGTGTGCGCTCTCTCTCTCCCTAACGTTAAGTAACTTGTGCATTGTTTTACTTACTTGTTTTTTACATATCCGCCCGAACTACAAACTTTCCAGTGATGTCTGTGAGAAAGGTATATTCACTCGACAAGCTCGCGCATCTGCGCTGCCGCACGCCCAATCCACTCAGCGTGCTTTGTTTATCAGCTCGCGCACATCAGCTATACAGGCATTAATACTGAATGTTTAACATTATATTCATTGCATACATATACTTCGTAGTAGACATCCTTAACTCCATTCTGCTGTCTGTTGTTCTGTTGTCGGTGTTTCTTTATTTGAATATGGCGCTTATCACATGCTGTGTGGTATCGGCGTTTGGTATCGGGGCATTTTAACGAGTACGAGTACAGGAGACCAGTATCGGTATCAGTGCATCCCTAGTAACGTTAATTAGGCTATGTGAGTACTGCTCATGTCTGAAAATAATATATGAAAAACAAAATTATTTTACATAACATTTGGATATAGCTTTTATTTATTTAGTAAATTTTTAAATTAATGTAAAAACTAAAATGAATTGTAAAACTGAAAGTAATTTTTAAAAATTGTGTTCAGCATGGTGGGCCGCATTTGAATTCGTGACGGGCCGCGGGTTGAGAACCAGTGGTCTAGGGTGACCAGATGTCCCATTTTTCCTGGGACAGTCCCATATTTCAGCTCTATTTTTAGTGTCCCGACTTATTTAGAAAAAAATTTTTGTCCCGTATTTCAAAATTTCTTTATGACTGGGTGATCAGAGCGAGTAGTAGAAGTGTTCTGTCACGCGAGAACAGCCTAATCAAAGGTAACTAAGCTTGTCGTAGAACAAAATTACAATCCAATCACAATTCGTTATCGATTAACTTGCAGTAAGTGGATGCAGGATAGGCAGAATCACACTGAATGTCACAACAGAAACGCTCTCTCGGCCGCGCGATCCCAGTTCTGTGATCAGTTCTCCTTGCGCCTTATTGTCAAATACACACACAGCTGTCAAAATGTCCATCGTAATATATATATATATATATATATATATATATATACATACACACACATACACACAATTTAGATATCATGAAATAAAATTTCTCATATCGTGGTCATATATCAACCCACCCCCGTATTGAACCAAGTGGGTGGTGATGTCACTCAGCACTTGGAGAATACGGATGGGAGATTTTCACATACCAGTGGCCTTAATCAATATCTTCCCTGAGCCTCTCCCTAATCCCATTTTACGGTCTCTATTGTTCCAGCAACACTTGCAAGCCAAAGGCTCCTTCGAAGCTTATCAGAATTTAACTTACTTTGACACTTAACAATTCATGAACCATGTTAGATAATTAGTCCAAGCCCAAAAAAGCTGTTAAAGAATTGCAGCCCAGCTTGTTGGCTACTGCCTACATAGGCAACTGCTTTCTAAGGGAGGCACTTCAAAAATTCATAAGTGACTCAGCACAGGTAGTAACTCTAAGCAGAAATTAATTTTAGGAGTTTGATGTTAGCATGTTGCTAAGCTAACAATACACTTCTCTAACAGTAAATAAAGTAAAATACAGCAAACAAATATTGGGTAAACAGTCAATTAAGTTTATCAATAATCTTTGGCACTAAATGAAATGAGCATACTTAAAATCAAAATCTCTTGACTTGCCCACCATGAAACTGAGCTGTAGTTTGCGCTTTCACAAATGATACATGTGAAGCAGCTATAAATTAGTTACGAGAAGGTGGCTTACCTTCGTTTACCAAAAAGAAAGTAGCAGCCTTCACGTCAGGCAACTTATGCCTTAAAATGCTAGGTAGTATTGGTAGGCAACTCACTATGTTTTAGAACAGAGCTAGTGAGTTTAGTTGGAGGCTGGAGAATTAATATGGCCCCTAGAGATTATACCAACTCAAGTGCTGGTTAGGAAAACATAAGGGTTTATTCCAATTATACATTGACTCTATGGAGTCCATGGATTAGGTTAGAAGACTAATATGAGGGCAAACAAGAGCTTGAACCTGTTGATGCATGCAAGCATAACTAAAAGAACTGCTGGTGTCCACTGTGATGCTTCTTTGTGCAACTCTTGGGAGATAAATGCATTTGGCATTGACAGGTGCAAGTCAAGTCTTGATGTGAAGGTAATTATGCATGTTCCATTACTGGAATGAACTGGAGGTAGTGCTTCTTCACTCAAGAGGACAAAAAGGTTTGGTCTGCTGAACCATGTACCTTCAGGGTCTGTTATCAGACACGCTCAAGGCTCTCAATCAATGAAATCCAGCAAGGCAAGGATGTTAACTGCCTGGACAAGAAAACAGCATTTCCAACCAATCAGGGATTGAACTGCTCCTGTTAGTGTGTGTAACAGAAGAGCCTGGGGTAAAACAGCTTTGAGGAGAATCGGAGCAGCCTGAGTCAATAAAAATTAACAAGCGCAAATTTCATGCGGTTCCTTTTAAGACGTGTTGATGTCCTCGCCCTTCTGCTGCAGGCAAGCGAGACTCTAACAGTCTCATCAACTGGGTTAACCTCCACTAACAATTAGTGTGCCGCACTCAAGCTCGTAAGGGTAATAAAAGCGGGCCTGCCATAGGCAAACAATACATTAGAACTGGGAGAGGAGGTTTACAAGCTGGCAATGACAGGCAGCAATGAGTAATAGTCAAATGTGCAGACTCTAGTGTCGATTATTTAATCGGACTGATTTTGAAGAGCAGCTCCCCCATAGAACAAGAGCCAATCAACAAGGACATTCTTGTTCAGTAATGTGCTATTACTGCAATGTTTAGCATAATGCCCCAACCTCCCTCTGTTGGCAATATTTCTGCAAGCTAACATCTGAATCAGACTGTGAAATGTCAGTTGTAAAATCGTTTAGAGCAAGGTGATTGACCCACTGGAATTAAGAGAGACATTAACACCCATTAGTGACACTATTTGCTGTGAAAGGTCAAGCTGTACAACACAAATGGCTCACCTTGAAAAAGCCGATGATGCCAACGCCATACTCCACACAGTACTTGTCCAGCAACTCTCTATTCCAGGCATCCAGGTTGACATACTTAAGAATGTTCTCGTAGATGACAAGTGTAAATCGACCCCGGTTCTTGTCTGTGAGTGTGGGCATATCGCCCTTCCCAGGTGCGATCTCGGTCTGGTATCGAAATCGCCCAGATTCCAAGATGGCCACGATGTCCTGGCCCAACTGGGAATACAAGCTCTCCACGAACAGCAGAACCACAGGGTCAGTTCGAGACATGTCTGCTGGCTTGGCGGTTCTGGCTGGCAGCACCCTTGCTGACGGAGGGGAAGGAGTCGCCCGGGGATCTTCCCAATCAGCAGTACCTTCTTCTGGGACCACCACACCTCCAACTCCTGCGGGTTCGAGCTCTCGTTTAACGCCATACAAGAAATAGGCTGAGATGAGGACACTGACCATGCAGAAAATGAAGAGCAGCAGCAGGCTGGTCTGCAGCGTGAGCTGACGGAAGAGCCGTCTCACACGTCCACACATCAGCATCATCACCTTACAACCACACCAATCAGGATAGACACAGTCCTCTATTTACAAGTCTATTGTATGTTTTTTCCAAAGAGACAAAATAGATGGGTTGAAATTGGGCTTCTCCATAAGGTATGTGCTCATGTCACCATTGCAGAGGGTGGTGAGACTGGGTTGGGCAGGGGACGGCATGGGCGAGGTGGGCTTCCACTCTCCAGCAAGGGATGTGCACTGCCCTCACATGCACCAGCAGCCCCCTGCCCAACACCTCTTTGCCCCTTCTCTACCCTCTCTGAGCCCTTATCTCCTGATCCTGTGCAGAAAAGATTCTGGGTTTTGGACTTGGTGAAGGTGGCTTCTTGTTCTTTGGCACTGGATGCTCTAGACAGATCATGCCCAGAGCATTCTAGCCTCCTTGAGTTCACCTAAAAAGAAAAAGCATGAATTTAACAAAAGTACAAATGCAAATAAAGCAAACAAAATCAATGCAAAAATATCTACTCCGCACCATTTTAGCTATCAATTCTGTTACTTGTGGACCGAACACTAAGGTGCAACTATGTATTCAAAGGCAATGAATTTTGACTAGACCAGACGAAAAACTCTTGTATTACCCCTCTCTGAATTTTGGCTGCAAAAGCCAAACCCACATGATGCCGTGGTAGCCCTACAACCTGGGTTTCTTTTCACTGAATACCAAGAGTGTCTAGAGAGGCATTTACAAAGGCAATGCCAGGATTACGGGATAATGGAGGCGGCTTGTATTGATTAGTAAGGGCTTTAAAAAGTGATCCTCACTATCCTTCATGCACTTCAAAGGGCAAAAGTCATTTAATCTTTTCATCTTAAATGAAGGGTTTAGCGCAAAGTGTGGCACAGGTGAATGAGTCGAGTAGGATTCAGATTAGCGCTAACCAAGTAAAGACCTCTGCAGAATGAGGACAGAACTAATGGCGATTGCAGGAAGTTGTATTGAAGGCTAAAGGCGATGACAGTCACGAAACGAATGGCAAGTGTGAAATGATCTTGCAAGAGGGATCATGAAAGTATAACTTCAGATGTTATCTAAACTTGCCAAATATTCCTTATGCAACTTTCAAAGACATCCTGAACTACAGAAAAACCCATTACAGACAAAAGGACAATAGAAAATTTGAAAAGGCAGTAAACATGAAAGTCAATTTAAACCCATTCACATTAAGTTGACACCTAAACAAACAATACGACTGACATTTACAGACATCTACTATGCTCAAGGGCACTGTGGTTTTAGGTTTTGTTCACTTTCAAAGACATCTCCTCAAAAGATGCAGAGTTTATACATACATGCATGTCACCAGTGGCCTACATGCTGTTTAACTAGAGGGAGAAGCACACAATGGGCGTCTGAGGAAAGGCTGAAGCGAAGCAACAAGACACAACGTGTCTGAGAAGCAATACAGGTCAATTTTCAAAGGCATCACAGACTCACTTCATTTATGGGTTATGTGAAAAGGGAGACTAGAACAAAGAATCAAAGCCTTGCAGGGGTTCGGGGATAAAAATGCATGAATACCGCAAAAAAGGGAAAGACACAAGAGCATGCCTTCAACAAGATGATGACGGGTAAAAAAGTCTTGACAGAGAAATAATAGAGCCTTAGAGAAGGCCATTTTATCATTTCAAAAGGTTGATGGGAGTACATTTAACAATCCAGTCATATTCACAATCCTGAAACACCGCTGTTGACTCTCCTGTCTGCTTGTGTGATCCAAAATCCCCATCAGGAATTTTAGGTGCCGGTGCTGTTAAGAGAAGTACATGAAGTGTTTCAGCTGTAGGGTGGGGAGGCATTGGGTTTTATAAAGAAAAAAGGCAAATCTAGGCTGCATTCCACAAGGGACACTCAAGAATAATGTTTTTGCACCCAGTAGCTCCACATCTCCTTTCCTTTACACCAGGATTACTCTCAGGCCACAATACTTGTCACTGGCCTCTCATTGTGTCTGGCAGAGGAACGTGAACAGCCATCAGCGTGTCGTCAGAGGTCGGATTACAGTCAAAGAGCTTTCCTATTCAGAGCCTGGTTCTTTAATATGCAGAAGTCCGGACTAAAGACGGCTGAAGCAGCCCATTGTGTACTGCATACTCTGAACAGCATGACTCAGATGACATGAGGCAAGAGAGCCCACACCCAGAACAAAATTCTAAGGATATGAAATGGCTTTGTAGCAGGTGAGAATAGGGGAGTTTTATGAGGTGATAAAAATGAAACTAAATTAATAAATACCAGCATTCTTATAATATTATTAAATAATTAATTGCAATTGATATTACTAGAATATTAAAAGGAACAGTTCACCAAAAAATGAAATTCTGTCATCATTTACTCAGCCTCATGTCATTCCAAAAGTGTATGCAATCTTTGAAGAACATTAGGGTCCAACAAACTCTATTCAATTTCATTGTAAGGACAAAAACAAACTTTTAAAAAATATTTTCTAAAAAATTATTTTATATTTCACAGAATGTCATACAGGTTTAAAAGACACGAGGTTGAGTAAATGATGACAGTATTGATTTTTGAGTGAACTTTCCCTTTAATTAGACTAAAGGTCATGTTGTAGATGTTAAATGAACATGTGATGTGCAGTCACAGGTAGGCTATATTGTCTTTTTTTCTGTCTAAAAATGGAGACAACTGGCGTTAACATATTTTGTGACTATAGCAAAACAAAAATAAAGAAATAAACAAAATGCTGATAGGTTAAAACAAGAACAAGGGATGAAAAAAGGTGCTGAAACGAAAGTGTCAAGACATGGAAAAATAAGGACCTTGACATTTAGAAACCCGTCGCCATCTCACCCACGCCAGCAAGTTTCTTCTGTCCCAGATCTTTCCTTCCTTCCTTTTTTTTTTTCTCCACAGTCTCAAAGCCCAACAGACGTGTGAAAAATGCACCCTGCCTGGGAGTCACAAAAGCCATTTTCTGATGGCAGGATAGCTTCCATAACACTCCCTATCTCAAGGGCACAGCATACCTTCATTCCCAAAAGCTCACACTGTACTGTCAGCTCTGGCTCTTTCAAATCCTGTTGAATGTTGGTTGAATCGTGAGCCCAGACAATGCTTGACAACTGCTATATTTCAAAACACAGATACAAAATGTACGATAAAGTTAGTTTAGACACATTATAATGCCACCGATTGCTGCCGAAGTGTTGCAATGTTTAAGATTTATGTGCTTCCAGTTATGAGTGCAATAAAACCAGGAGACTGGAAAACAAATCAGAATAGCGACGTCTACATGATATCCGGAATTGATCGGCACCAAATAAAAAAAGTTATAGGTCTGGAGTGGAAAAAGCAGGGGATATTAATATACACAGGTGATTTTGAGGGATCTGCTGATGGGAAAAAGATATGGAACCATCAAATGTTTATCTGCACTGTCTCCTCTTTCTTGTTTTATGTCAAAGCAAAGCGATGGTACAGATCTGGCTGCTGGAAGAATGGGACGATAAAAAGGACGACATGCTCGAACAGCTTCGAACACCAGGGCCGCATTCACTGCCACTCAGAGACACAGGACACTTCCTGGAGCAAGTGGTGTGCATCTGCGTGCCAGGACAGCAGGACAATAGCTGGCCGATCGCCCTGGACAGCTCGACTCACAGGACTAGTTTCTAGAGCTTTAACCGCAGGCAGACCTAAAAATCAAAAGAACCCCTCCCAAATTGGTACAGTGCAATTTAACGTTCACAATGACGGACATTGTTTGTAGCACATGATGATGACGGTGGCTGCTGTGGGGTCCGTTCCTGCTCATGAATGGAAGTAGTCAGACTGAGACTAATGCTGGCTCTGACCACCTCTGTTCTGTTACAAACTCGGCCTAAACCCACAATAAGAGCAATCCAAGCCTGAATTTGCCTGTCAGTGAAATATCTGGGTATTTCATAAAAAGAATGAATAAAACATGTTGTACTTGTCATCACGCTCAGCTGATGCCGAAAAGAAATATGTGCCGTTCTGTTAATTCATGATGTGTCTTTATAGAGCACAGAAAGAAAATAGAGAAAAAAAATGCCCAAGGAAAAAGCTAAATAGTCTAATTTGTTAGAGAGACAAATCACCAGCTGCAGGTCACTGGGAATGAACTCAGCCTCAGTAGATGAGCAACATTCAAAATGTTGTTGACTTCAGGATGATTGCGTCTGTAAAAAGTGGGGAGTTGTTGAAAAATAAAGTGCAATTCAAGTTTTTTCTTCTTCTCTGTTACAGTTATGGAAACTTATTTCTGCCATGGAATGATGATATAAAATGGTAATTGTGACTTTTTACCCCACAATTCTGAATTTTTTTAGCAATAACCCCCCCCAACAATTCTGACACGTTTTTCCTAGAATTCCGAGTTTACATTTCACAATTTTTACATTTTATCCAGAACTCTAAATGTACATTTTGCAGTTCTGTTTTTTTTTTCTATGGAAGCTTAAGGAACAAAAAATACAAAAAAAAAAATAATGCTAATTTGTGACTTTTTATCTTGAAAATGAGTTTATATTCAAAGAATTGCAAGAAGAAAGTCAGAATTGTGAGATAAATATGAAGAGTTAATTTGCAAAAACAGGTAAATACTGCAAATCGATTAAGGCATCACAACATTATAATGTACTGTATAAAAATGCATATGGTACTGATGTATTGAGAATGCCAATGTTCATATATCAAATATTTATATATCATGTTTATATATCAAATATATCAAATTATACTGATATATCAAAATATATCAAATATTCTCAATACATCAGTACCATATGCATTTTTATGCTGTACATTATAATGTTGTGATGCCTTAATCGATTTGCAGTATTTAAAATGACATTCATGACACATCAAGTGAAATGAAGATTAGCCAATCACAACAGACCTCATTTACATATACAAGTCTTAAAGGTACAGTAGTGCAGACAGCCAGAGTAATTGGGCTCTGAGTTGTGATGTCATATTGATATTTCAGAACAGCACTATTTTAGATCGAAGTATGCTTATGTATTACATCAAACTCAGATTTCAAAAGAACTAGGAAAATCAATTATATGGCCCCTTTAAAACTACCATTAACAAAATTAATTTCTTCTGTGGGAATATTGCATGTTATGATATCAATATTTAGGCCTAGATCACAAAGTTTTTGAGACCTGAGGGGATTACGCACACAGCTTTCATGTCAGATGGGTTCAAATCAAGCCAATAGCCCATAAAGACGGAAATATGTCCTCTTCTGCTAGTGTGGCATCCCATATTCGTTATTATTAGCTATTTATTGACTATAAATCTGAAAGCAAGAATGTGCTTTGAACACATTGGCAGTGGGAATTGCTGGCTCTCCCTTTCAGACAGATTTAGATATGTCTCAGTAAACATGGTCTTTGAACTTTGGAGGCTTTTGTTTGCAGCCCTTTGCCTTTGAAAAATTAAGATTTCAGCCAATTGTCTCCCCACATCTTCAGTTTTGGGTTGGAGATTAAATTATAAATTACTGTAATATAAATTAATATATAAATGTAATGCTACAAATGAATATAATGCCACTAATGCTTCAAATGTGTATGTCCCCTTACAAGTGTTAAAGGTTTCTATTAGTGCTTTGTCAGATATTGAATGAAACTGGATAGGACTGAGGGAGAGAGAAATGGACAGTCAGAGAAACAGAGCAAAAAATAAAGAGGCTTATAGGATGAGAGCAAACAAGAGCTACATAAAAACAAGTTTCTCCATTGAGCAGATTGCTTGGTTCAAAGGGTAAACACGCCACTGGGACAAATGGTTGGTAAACTCCTCAGGGCTTCAAACACTGAACTGACAAACAGCATTAGATGCTCAAAGGGCCTAGACACAGCACAATCTGGAGAAGGTCGGGGAAGTGTAATCCTAAATCCTTAATCCTGTTTATCTGGGCTGGACCAAATGTGCCAATGAAAATGGCAGATGAATGAGCATCGAGTGGACGACGTGCAAACTGAAACTTTACTGCCGACAGCAAAAAAAAAAGAAAAAAAAAGAAAAAGGCTCCGCAGATCAGTTCACAGTTCAAGTCAATTAGAGGCCATTACAGAGAGGGCACAAATATGGGAATGCAGAAGCCAGACAGCAGAGCAGTGCAGACATACCTCACAGACAGGTATCACCATAACCAGATTTCAATTTAGTGGCCAATTGCCCTTAGAAAATCCTGTTTAATGGCTTGATACTGATGAATAAACAAGCGTGAAGTCTGAGGGGCTCAAGAAATCTTGAAAGATGCGGAATACTTGAGATGTAAGGACTTCGCTGTCTGTGGAGGCAGAAATGGAGGGGACACTCGAAGTCACTATTATGTATGAAGGCACAGTGGAAGCAGCAGAGAGCAACAAATCAATCTTCCCTGCTGGCGGCTCCAATCTCAAGGGCACTCAGTCTCCATCAGAAGACTGCATTTGCCCTTGCCAGGCCAGACGGTGTGTGTGCCGAGCTCTATCCTGTGCGCTCTCACACCCGCCATCCACACACACACACACACCAGTTTTGATACAACTGTACTAGTAAACACTCCAGTCTGTCTGCACACAGTGTGCTGCCACCGTCCTGCTGCCGGTGCCAAGCTCGAAGACAGGCAGACTTGCCAAAAGATCCTTCCCCACCCCACGCACAACATGGGCCGCATTCGGCTGTATCTGTGCATCCACCGCACTGCTGATCTAATGTCCATCCTAATCAGTGAACTTAATCTCCTGTTTCACTGGGACTGCACTGACCCCGAGAAACCGGACAGCAAAGACATGCTATTATGCACCCAACCCACCGTCTTTACCACAGGAGAAATGGGATCATGGGTAGGGAGGAGGCTTGTCTCCTAAAAATGAGGGTGAACAGTGGAGCCCGCAGGCTGTTAGGGTAATGGTGTGGACTCTCAGAGATTAAAAGTAACACAAGCTAGGGCTCTGACTGCATGCAGGACCAAAAAGCTCAAAATGAAAATAATGAACAAGTAAACTAAAAAAAAAAAATTTTTAATCATGAATTTGAAAATTCATGATTTGTCCATTAGATGTAATAGGATACAAACATTATTTATTTATTTATTAAAGTAGACAACATTTGGAAACACATTTTTATACTAGCGTTGTAAAACTGTATACTTTTAAAATTTTTTATACTAAATATTTTTCATCTTTTTGTATCATTTTAGCAAATTGTACAATAACAATGACTTTTTAAACATTTAATTTATACATTAATATTTTAGTTTTTTTTCATTACAAATTTACTGGAAAATATTTTTACAATTTAAAAATAATTAATAAAAAATCTATTTTAACATATATTTGAATGTACTGTAAAATTTATTTATGTTTATCTTTAAAAAAAAAAAAAATTCTGTCACTTTTGATCAATTTAAGGCATCCTTGCACTTTTGTACACACTTATACTATGTATACTGCAGTTATTAAAACAGATATGAATTACAATATAAATTATTAAAATAAAGATACAATTTATTTATTTTGAATACTTTATTTTTTTTAGTCGTTCATATGACTGTTGCTTAAACCACTGCTGTGACAGAAAATGTCCCCCCAACAAAAGAAATTACCATTATTATTAACAATCCATAAGCAATAATTTTAGCAGGTGTAACCCAAATGAGCCTACAATCATGCAAAATTAGCTAATTACACAGAGTCTGGGCAATCCTCTTGGTAAACAAACAAAAAAGAGTGAGCAGAATATAAACAGCAACTAGGCAAATAGATGCTTTTCAAGACCAATCAGACACTTAGTGCACATGGATGAATCACAGTAGAAGAAGTGGGGCCTACAGGGGTCCTCTGGACACACTTCCCATTCGTGTGTCCAAACTTTTGACTGGTACTGTATATAGAATACAGTATATAGCCTACATAATATAGAATATATATACATAAACACATTTTTTGCAATGATAACTCAATTGTGGTGATCAAACACATGCCTACGTAATGGAGGCAGGGTATTTAACAATTTAACAATAAACTTTAACAAACTCTGTGTTGTGTATTTTCTGGTAATCAAATGAACATGCAGAACATTCGTATTTAAATCATCTTTTTGCAGTTTAATATTCACAGACTGTTTTTTATTTATTCATCAAAAATAAGATAAATGTCATGAAATTCCGCGTTATACAGTAAATTCCATCCATGTTTTCTGCATTGCGGAAATCATAGGGCCCTACTAATGTAGCAAACGAATATGATAAGTTCATTGAGTAAAAGACGAGGACATTGTTGTTTATTTACTTAGCATTGAGTCTCTCCAACTAGGTGACAACGTAGCGTTAAATTAC